AGGACCAGGACCCAGGACCGTATATGTTTTCGACGATGCACTTGCTGTTTCATTTAAAAGAATACCAAGTTATAACATTGCATACCACGAACAATTGTCTATAAAATCCAAAAGTTTTAAACATCGAACAAAAGACTGCACATCATAGTAAGGGGAATACTTCTAATGAATACAGAAATAAATCTGATTTTTATTTCTTGCCCTGTGTGAAAAACAAAAACAGGCATCTGCAAATGCATTTAAACTTTATGTGGCGTTTTTTTTTTATTCAATGTGCACCTCAGCGTAAAGTCCAGAAAAGTTGTTAACCTTCCTCAAGCTGAAAAAATATTACTTTAAAACCTTCCTCACATTTAATGGGTGGGCTTAAACAGGGTGTGGTCAGAAAATCAGGGGTACTCAACTAGGCTCGATCCCCTCACCTTGCAACTGTGTTTTTCTAAAGCATTTTAATAATAGTAGCTTGATTTAAATCACAGCTTTTTAGACAGATTAAGATTTATATGTTTATTTCAATTAATAACATAAGACTGTTATTATTTAAATATGGAGTAAAATATAGTTAATGTCTGAATTTTATTATACAAAGCAGTCCTGCAATGATTTTTTCTTAATTTTTTATATGGCTGTTTTTAGAAAACCAAAAGCCCCCAAAAGGCAATACGGTTTCTTCAACTTCATCAAGTTTCCAATTTTTGTCATCTTCCTCAATTTCTCTTTGTTTCTACAACCTTCCTCCGGCCAGTAGCCGTGGTGACAGTGGCGGAGCCACGAGAGGGGATAGGGGGGACTAGTCCCCCCCCCACTTTTTCAGAAAGTTGGTCCTTGAGATTCTTGCAAACCTGATGAGAAAACTTCAGGGGGGGGGGATGTATGTTATCTAGATCGTCACGTGTAAGTGACATTTCTTGGGAGGCAACAGGTGTTTCCTCCGGAAGAAAAAGTTTCAAGGAAGGGAAAAGGGCGTGGTCCTAAAGGGCGTTGTCCCTGACACACCTTTTGTCTCCCTCCACTTATCCGTCACTGCGCCGCCACTGCGTGGTGACCGTGATGCTTTCCTTCCTATTCTACAGCGATGCATTTATTCTCATATTAGAAGATTACGGTGAGAGAAAAGGGATTTACACTCTTATCAAATACAGCAGATGCCTTTTAATATGCGATAAAAACTTGAAACATTTTAATTTTTCATAGGTGCATTGTTTCTGTAAGGTTTGTCTTGTCGTAATTTTAAACACCTCAAAACGTCGTTGTATTCTGGCAACGCTTGAAACATGAAATAGAGCAAGTTGTGTGAGTTAACCAACATTGCTACTAAAAGGCCCTAAAACTCCATTTGCAAAACTATTTCAAAGTGGTCTTAGCATGGCCGCCAAGATTTAGGAGGCCACGAGGTACAACCGAGATGAAAAAACAGAAATAACAGATGAAAAATTGAACATTTTTGCGATCACGCTCTTCAGATTAGCCTTAAATGCACCCTGGAATATTTCTTTCAGTTATTTCTTGTCATCGTTTAAAACCTTTTACTACTTTTAGGCACATGTTAGCTTCTTTTCATTCATTCCATTTTTAGATGGGAATACATTACTTAATGAGGCCCTTTAGACTTTGGGTCCTTCACCCCGCTATGGGTCTTAGAACATTGCATAGTTAGTAAAGATAGAAAAATCAATGTTGAAATACATGAATGTTGTATGTAAGAAAACCTCTCAAATTACCCTCTTATTCATGAAAACAATTTTATAAGAACACGAGCCTCAAAATTGGTAAAAAATTAAGAACAAATTCAGACCAAGCTGAGGCTGAGCTACTGTAAAATACAATTTGAACAACTTTTTATCTCAAAAACGAGGATTTTTTGCGATGTGTGGGTGCATTTTCGGTGAATATTCAAACTTGTCGGCAAAAAAGGTTGTCTAACTCACTTTTTATGGCAAATGAGGCCTGAACACCTCCCTAGAGCGAAAAAGCTAGCAATAGCACTGCTTACACCCACTTAATTTAAGAACAAATTAAGAACAATCCAGCCTCAGATGTACGAAAAAATTAAGAACAGTCAGCCTGAACCTAAATTTACCGCTTAATAAAAAAAAGAGTGTGAGAGCATCGGGCCTCGGCAAAAATTACCTGGCTATAATAAGACAAAAATAGTTCAGAACTTACCGTAAATTAGTATCAACAGACAAATAAAACAACTTGCACAAAAGCAGCTGAAAAACCAGTTAAGACCAGCCATTTTTCTTGCGAAAATTTTTCACTGGCAACACTGTCTATATTGCCCAGTACAAGGTCTTTCAATCAGACGGGGGTATCAACTTATATTAATTTGATCGCCGGATAATTCAACGTCGATTGATGTTCACCTGTCGCACCCTCCTGATTGATTCTTCATATCTGCCTATGAAGCCGGATTTCTAACGAGCAAAGTTCTACGCATATCGACACGGCCAACGGATCGTCGCGTATGCGTGCTTCTAGTGAATTTTCGAAATACGAGCGACACGGACAACGGGTCTTCGCGTATGCTTGTTTCTAGTGAATTTTTGAAATACAATCGACACGGCCAACGGATCGTCCCGTATGCGTGCTTCTAGTGAATTTTTGAAATACGAGCGACACGGCCAACGGGTCTTCGCGTATGCGTGTTTCTAGTGAATTTTTGAAATACGATCGACACGGCCCACGGGTCGTCGCGTATGCGTGCTTCTAGTGAATTTTTGAAATACGAGCGACACGGCCAACGGGTCGTCGCGTATGCGTGTTTCTAGTGAATTTTTGAAATACGAGCGACACGGCCAACGGGTCGTCGCGTATGCGTGTTTCTAGTGAATTTTCGAAATACGATCGACACGGCCCACGGATCGTCGCGTATGTGTGTTTCTAGTGAATTTTTGAAATACGATCGACACGGCCCACGGATCGTCGCGTATGTGTGTTTCTAGTGAATTTTTGAAATACGATCGACACGGCCCACGGATCGTCGCGTATGTGTGTTTCTAGTGAATTTTTGAAATACGATCGACACGGCCCACGGATCGTCGCGTATGTGTGTTTCTAGTGAATTTTTGAAATACGAGCGACACGGCCAACGGGTCGTCGCGTATGCGTGTTTCTAGTGAATTTTCGAAATACGATCGACACGGCCCACGGATCGTCGCGTATGTGTGTTTCTAGTGAATTTTTGAAATACGATCGACACGGCCCACGGATCGTCGCGTATGTGTGTTTCTAGTGAATTTTTGAAATACGATCGACACGGCCCACGGATCGTCGCGTATGTGTGTTTCTAGTGAATTTTTGAAATACGATCGACACGGCCCACGGATCGTCGCGTATGTGTGTTTCTAGTGAATTTTTGAAATACGAGCGACACGGCTTTTTAGGTGCTACACCTTATTAAGCCATAAAACAACCAATCAACATTCGCAAATCAAGATGGCGGCTAAAAGTCAAAGTTCTTTTGAAGAAACGTGTTGCCAGATATCTCCGAGAAACACAAAGTGTTTCGCTAGGTCCAATGAGTTCCCTTTGAGATGGTTCAGCTTCAGCCAAAGCTGAGTATACAACACAGGGCCTGCGCCACCGGGGGCCTAGGTGGCCATGCCCCCCACTTTTTTGCCAAGCAAGTACATTAAAAGAGGAGAGACGCCTTGCCCCCTTCTTTTGCTGGCCTTGCCCCCCCCCCACTTTCAAATTCGTGACGCAGGCCCTGTAACATTCAGCCAGCCATCTCTTTTCTTTTTATAAGAACCAGTAAATTTAAGCTCAGGCTGACTGTTTTTAATTTTTCCAAAAATCTGAAGCTAGATTGTTCGTAATTTGTTCTTAAATTAATATGGTGTAAGCAGTACGAGTGCTCACCGAGAAAGCGCCAACTCATGGCTAAACATCCTCGCTTTTGAGGTAAAATGTTGTTCAAAATTGCATTTTACAGTAGCTCACCCTCAGAGTGTAAAACAACACAAGCCAGTGTGGGGGTGTGGTCGAAATAGGCCAATCAGAAACACGAGCACATGACTGTATAGGTTGACCAATCAGTGCCGCTTGCCTATTAGAATGTTACCAGTGGAGTCCTAAGGTGAAAACGAACTCCTTTTGTTTACACAGTAGCGGTGTTTTCGTGCTTATGTAGATAGATTCTAAAACTGCTAGGTGGAACGACGACCGTGATTGGCCTATTTCGATCCACAACTGGGTATATATATTTCTTAGCGTAGAGTTTTCGATCTATGTTCTGACGTTTTGAACTCTGAAGAGTGTCAGACGAAAAGCTTTAGTTTACTAAATGTTTACTTTTTTCAAAGCTATTTACAAGTTTTGTACCACCAAAAGATTAATTGATATTGACGCATTAACATTATCTATTGATATTAATATTATAAAATTTTAATTTATAATCTTGGGTGTGTTCGTTCGTTTAATTAGTTTTTAATGATGTGTTTGAGAGATTCTTGTTGGAAAGTTTCTTTTAAGTTTAGAGGTTACAGTCATCAAAGAATGGAAATTACGCAATTCGTTACGCAATTCACTAAAAATCAAATGAAAGTGAGGATATGTGCATTCCTCAATACAGTCAATTATCAGTAAGTTTGGGAGAATGTCCCTCCTATTTCCGAGATCAGAGTTCGCCTTCGTTTTATTCAATTGAAAAGTCTCCTATTCGACAACCTGACGCTTGACACGCCCTACCCTGGGTACCAGACTCACTTGATATAAAATAATTTATCAAAAAATTATCAATAATTGAATCTCTTAGTCTGGTATCCAGGTCGAGCCCACTGAAAACTTTTTCTAGCACCACCCCTGAACATAGGGGCCGGGGGTGAAGTCACCTAACTAGGCAGAATTTATCGCATTTTAGGCTCCATTCGGGCAGCTCTACCTCAATAAAACAATAATGTTCATGCGGGATTCATTAAGTTCAAAACTATGAACCAGGCGTAGCCCCCCTGAAAGTTTAGCATCCATGTTGAAGAAAATATATTTTATGGCTAAAGCAACGACCAAAATCACCTTGAACCTCATGGCACTTAACACTAATTAGTAAGGGTTATTAGTGAAAAATCATCCACATTGTGATAGAAGCATGGAACTTGGTAGAGATACACAGTTTGACACGCTAAGAAAAATAGGATGCAGATCCCTTCGAAAAAATGCCCCCAAATGCCATTTTTAGACTGGGTGGAGTTTTATACCCCAAGCTTTTTCAATGGGTATTAGGTCAACTTTGCGGTTAGTTGTGATAGAAGCAAAAAAATGATAGAGAAACACAGTTTGACACGCTGAAAAAAGATAGGATGCAGACCCCCTCGATAATATGCCCCCAAATGCCATTTTAAGATTGGGTGGAGTTTTATACCCCAAGCTTTTTCAATGGGTATTAGGTAAACTTTGCGGTTAATGTGATAGAAGCAAAATAATGATAGAGAAACACAGTTTGTCACGCTGAAAAAGATAGGATGCAGATCCCTTCGAAAAAATGCCCCCAGATGCCATTTTTAGACTGGGTGGAGTTTTATACCCCAAGCTTTTTCAATTAGATCCACTTTGCGGTTAATTGTGATAGAGGCAAAAAACGCTGAAAAAGATAGGATGCAGACCCATTCGAAAACATTCCCGCGATGACGATGATTTATAGTTTAAGATATCAGAGTAACGAGATATATTTCGAGATGGATATTTTGCAGTAGCATTTAGTCTTGTCCATTGTTCTAATCATAGATAAGAAATTAAAGTCTTTGCTAGTTTGCACTCATTGCAGGGTATTATTTGGAATTCGATCCAAGCTCTTTCATTTCTTCATTAAAAACATTGAACACAGTGTTGTGAAGTAAACAATTTGTTGCATTTATAGCTTCCCAGATGTCTTATTTTGTTAATTTATGCCTAGAGCCATAAGGGATTGTGTTATAAACAAATTTAGTGAATCCAGCCCTTATTTCAGCCTTTAAACATAAATTCAAGAACTATAGTGGTTGTTACATGAATTGGTTTCAAAAATACTTGAATATTCGCAGTGAAAGGGTTGCAAAATTTTGGAAAAGTCAGAGAAAAGGGTACATTTTATACAATCCAGAATCAGAGATCTGGGTTCAGTCTCCACTTCAGGAACACACATGATATACACAGGGTTAGGAAAACATAACGGTACCACAGCCACTAACCGGAGGTAGGTCCACAAAAAACAATAAAAGCTCCTACGACACACCCAAGCCACGCCCACTTTCTTTTGTTTTGTTAGGAAGGCTTGCCATCTGGGATGTTTTTGTCTGGAGGAAGATAAACAACTTTTCTGGACTCTGGATATACAGTGGACCAACTGACTGAGTCCGCCGGGGCCGCAGATTGTTTGAATAACCCAGAGATGACTGTTTTAGAAAAGATGTCAAGAATGTTGATTATTGTAAATCAACATTACCGAAGTTAGGCCACATCTCACCAAGATGCATTCATTTTCCATATACCCCTCATTCCATCCTGGAAATCCTTGCTGGCGTGAAAATCGCTGGAGCTGAAAAATATGAAATGCAGTTGACGCTTCTTTCAAAAAACTGTAGGGAAGTTGGATACAAGGCACACTTTTACCTAATAAGGCCTGTTCGCTTGCATTCAATGCCAATAAGAAACCTTGAAATTATCAACGCTTAGTTTTGCTTATTTTGGGGGATTATCAAATCCCTTATAAAATTTTTATCTTGTCGACATAAAATCAATATCGTGAGCAGTATCATAATGAAAACTTTTAACTAGACTAAAATCTCAATCCGAATCTTAGGTAACAAAATTCTTACAAAAGAATTTGAAGAATTGTTCAAAATGAGGCCGGATGTCTAATTTGTCTACATACACACGTAAATTGTGTGTATATATTAATTCGATGTTTTCAAGATAGCCTTACAGAAACCACACAGTCCACAGTTGTGTAGCATCCCCAAGCGTGGCCACCTGTGTTTGATATTACAACATTATCTCCGTTTCATGACAAGTGGTCCTAGACGTTTTAGTCTTTATGTTTATTTCTCACAAGTTGCAAAATTCCAGTCTGCAGAGCGTGGCAGTTCTCGACAAGATCTTGTGTGTGCAAGAGCAAATAAAAATGTGTGCATGTGTGCAAGAATACTAACAAAGTGAGCTATGTCTGCACACACTGTTCAGTTTTGGTCCAATGTGTGCAGCAAGCTTCTAATGGGAAAAATGCAGCCTGAGAATTTGTCAATTTGTCACACAATGTGTGCACAGCAATTATTTCTGCAAAAGTGCTTCTGAGCAATCATGTATTTTGAATGGTTAAATTTCCATTATTTTGAAGCCTTGTACCTTGTACCTTCTAAGTGGGTAGAAACTGGGTGTGGGGTTAAGTGTGGATATAAAACTGTACTCAGTTGATTTTAATACAATTCAGTCCACAGAATGAGCTCTACAAAGTAGATTCTTGACCCTATAATGCTATAATTGTAGATTCTTATTAACTGCAAAGTATTTTGTAAAAGCAGGATCACACAAAGAAATTATTATGTTCTAAATTTAAGGTTGGAAAAGTTGACATACCCACAGTTTCAAGCGTGTTTAAATATTCAAGCACGAAGCCTCAAATCTCTTTGCTGGCCTTTCACGAACTCTACCTTTTTACAAACCAAAATATTTGAAGCAGATCCATACTTTTTTGATAATGCTTGAGCTTAGGTCAGTTTCTGTAGACTTTTTTATGCCCCTTGTTAGCAACAGGCAATGCCTCTTGTAACCAGCTTTTGCTTAGGACATTGAGAATATGGACATAGAGTTTCCCAGAGAATTGGATTGTGCTAGTCTGTACAGTGTTTACAGTGTTATTATAAAATCAGTTGTAAATTGGAGTTTACGCAGTAGCTAACTTGGATATAGTTTCCAATGTGAAATTATTTTCTACTGACCCTTCATTTGTACATTCATAAATGTACATACAAGACCTAGCCTTTACATACAATACTTAAACAAGAGCTAACTTTAGCGTGCTCTAACTTTTAAAACAGAATATAATCGTCATTTGAGGAACTTAAGAAAACTTAACCTCTTTCTATCTATTTTCCGCTGAAATCTGCTTGCTTTAACGTACTTTCATGCAGGGGTTGTGAGCCAGAACTATGAAAAGAATTACATAAAAGATTTTGATAACTGCAGACCTATAATCAATCAGGGGCCCGCCAAACGAGGCGGGGAGTTATATACTCGATTTGGATCGATTTGGTCTGTGATGCAGGCTACACCATGCTCGCGGCCTACCATTGTCACAGAACTAACGCCTGGTTCAAACGTCGCGCTTCTCATGTGCCGAACCTAACTCGAGAATTAAGTACATGAGGGGCGCGACGTTTGAATCAATCTGGTACGGCAGATTGAGTTAGGAGCGGCAGACTAGTTTCGATCGGCAGAGCTTGCCGAGCTGCACGACTCCAGCACGGCACGGTTTCAAGCGTCGAACTTGTCATGTACCGAACTCAATGCATAATTATATTTAATTTATTTTCCTACGCAGAATTCATTTCTTTCTTGGAGGGCGCATGCGTTTCAAACAAATATTTGAGATTGTGCGCCTCAACCAAGATACTTCATGTAACAATCCTTAAACCCACTTGGCGCGACATATTCAGTTCGACGTTTGAAACGGGAGTCGCGCTAAACATGCTCAAGTGCCGCTCCAAACAGAGTTGGGTTCGGCACATAAGAAGTGCGACATTTGAACCAGGCCTAAGGCGTAGTTTAGACAGCGCGTTATGGGCGCAGCGAATTAAATTCAATTAGATGCGCTCAAAATGCGCCCGTAGAGCGCTCCAATTTATTGTTTGCTTTTAGACAGCGAAGCGAATTGAATTGATGCATATTTTAATTCATAACGCGCTGATAATGCGCCCAAGTGAGCGCATTATGAGCGAATTCAATTATTTGCTTCGCTCTCGGATTTAGTCAGCGAATTAAGAGCGCATTAAATTGACACTCACAATATTTTATGGTAAATAATTTAATTCGCTGCGCCCATAAAGAACTGTCTAGTCTAAGGAAAAATTTAATATTTTACTGAAGCATCCCATCAACCGACAGAAAATTTCTCGAATAATATATGCAAGATTTTCATTAGAGAGTTTACGAAACAAGACGCGACAGATCGAGACGAGCTGAAAAGGTCTGGAATCTAGTCAACCCGATGCGTTGACCTTTTTCCTGTTACGATTCACAACGTGCCTGTCACAACGCATTGCAGTTTGGCGCCAAATTCAGTTTACTCGAAGCTGCAAAAATGGCGAACAATTTATTCATCGTGCTCGAGGAAAATATGGAAGATGTCGAGGACTACCTTTTATTACATCGTGGTCACGCAAACAACGTTAATCTTCATTTAGAGCTTCCATATTTTAAATATGAACGTTTTAGCTTGGAAGATATGGCCGAAGAGGAGTGCTCTGTTGAAATGCGTTTCAAAAAGCAGGACATATACAATCTTGTGCAAGCCCTTTCAACTGCCAGAAGTTTATCGATGCTACAATGGTGTCATTGTTGGCCCCGTTGAAGCGCTTTGTGTCTGCTTGAAGCGTTTCACGTATCGCTGCCGGTATGCGGATTTAGTCCCAAGATTCGGAAGGCCTGTTCCGCAACTATGCATGATCTTCAACTTGGTGGTTGAGGATATATATGACAGGTTTTTTAATCTACTGAACGACCTGAACCAGCCATGGCTCTCAAGAGAGAATCTCCAGTCATTTGCTGATGCAATACACAACAAAGGTGCTGCATTGGACAACTGCTGGGGATTTGTTGATGGCACTGTCAGGCCTATATGCAGGCCAACCAGGAATCAAAGAGCTGTCTACAATGGGCACAAAAGGGTTCATGCACTCAAGTTTCAGTCAGTTGTTGCTCCAAATGGTATGATTGCAAACCTTTTTGGGCCCGTTGAAGGTAGAAGACATGACAGCAGACTGCTTGTAATGTCTGGTCTACTGGAGCAATTAGAACAGCACTCGTTTTCCCCAGATGGTGCAACTCTTTGCATCTATGGTGACCCTGCATACCCGCATCGTGTTCACCTCCAGCGCCCGTTTGCAAGAAGAGCAGCTCTCACACCTGACGAGCTTGCTTTTAATCAATCAATGAGTCATGTCAGAATTTCTGTTGAGTGGGTGTTTGGAGACATCATCAACTCCTTCAAGTTTGTGGATTTCAAGAAAAATCTCAAGATTGGCCTCAGTTCTGTTGGGAAATTTTATGCTGTCAGTGCATTGTTAAGAAATGCTTTAACCTGCTTGTATGGCAACAGCACTGCAAAATTCTTTTTAGCCCCCAACACTAAATGAGTATTTCTTGTAGATATACTTGATTCCACAGACTTGAAAACCAGAAAGGCACAATAAACAGTTTTTTTAAAAACTACCACATTGCCAGAGTTATTATGGCATCCCAGTAACACCACACTCAATATTGCCACGTACATGTTGCATTAGAATTCAACAAACCTTCTCTATTATAGTTTGCTGTTCTGTTTATTAGCCACATCTGTTTATAAATGCCCCCTTGATGATAGCTGCTCAAAATTAAGCTTAGAGAGAAAAATAATCTACACCTGTGTAAATTATACTTATGTTAAAAAAACAAATGCCACCGTCAGGCCAACATGCAGGTCAACCAGGATCCCGTTTCCAAAAGAAATCAGTATATATAGCTTTTTGATGAAATCCTCTCACATTGAGAAATAAACAGTGTTTGAAATAATAGCTAAATCAATATTGTTTATAATCTAATCATCAATAGCTGGATCATTAATATGGTACAAATTATTTCTCAACTGGAAAAGATGTGTGCCATTTTCGAAAATAGATGCAGTAAAATGTCTATGTGCAGCAGCATTTAATAAAAAAAATCAATTAAGTGTTCACTAAAGAGTGTTACTTCAATTAATAAAGCAAAATGGAATAACTACAACAAAAAATGTAATCATTGCGAAGCTAATGAAGAGGAAATACAGATAATTTGAAACCATTTTAAAAACAAACTTAACTACAGTTTACAGTTAAATATGATCAACTGTAAAACTATAGTTAAAAAGAACAGATGTAACCAATTGCATAACTGTTGTGGTATTAATAAATATAAAGATGCTGGAACTGTTTAGTGGCTAACAACAAAGCCTCTATAACTTTATCACATTGGGATCACAATTTTTGCTTAGGAATTAAAAAAAACGAAATAGAAAAGGAGTGGAGAAAATTTTATTACTTAAAACGACAAATTTGAATGTTATGTTTATGGGAAGGACCATTGCCTAATATAAAGCCTAGAGCATGATGCACTCAAATTGCAACTTAGAATCTATAAATCAAAGAGTGTACAGCTGGCACTCTATGACAGAACAGTAAACAGTTATTTAACTATATATGCTCTAATGTGTTTCTGAAAAAGTTGGAATCTGTTTTTGTAAAATTCAACAATTTATAACAAGAGGCTTATTCAAAAGTTGATAGTAGAAAGGGGACCTTAATTAAATCATTTTTGTATTTGCTGTTATGACTGTTAACATATTAAGATTTTTCCAACAATTTATTAACAACATCAAGCAGCAGCTGGTTCTGATGTTGCATTTGCCCTTGCTGCTGCTGAAACATTGCCATCATTTCTGTGTCTCTCTTTACCCTTGCCTCATAATTTTTCTCCTTAATCTCTAGCTCCCGATGCTTAATTTCCCACTCTCTCTCCATTTCCCTCTCTTTTATCTTAATTTCCTTTTCTTTAATCTCAATCTCTCTTCTTCTTAATTCAAACTCTTCTCTTTTTAGTTCAGCCTCTCTCTCAGTCTTTTCTCTCATGTAATGCATCACCTCTGTGTCCTTGTCCCAAACAGTCTTTTTTCTTTTCTTTCCTCCTTCCTGACTCTCCCTCTCTCTTGTCTCTGCCAATCTTTCCATGGATCGCTTTCTAATAGATTCAGCAGTTTCCTTTTCCTTTTCATCAACTTTCCCCCCAACCCTCAACATTACAGCCTGTGCCTCAGTCCCCCTTTCAATTATATCTTGGACGGCTTGCTCTAATTCAGTGGGTTCTGGTGGACTGATACCACTAGCACGCTCTTCCTCTGCCATCTTTCTCTTGAAGCTCCTCTCCAACTTCAAAAAACGGTCTCGGACTGCTCTTTGGTCTACCATAAAATGTGGTTGGCCAATTCTATTTAAATTATTGGCCACGTTATCCCAACTGTGACCACGCTCCCGAGTACCCATTTTGAATAGATAAGGCTCCTCGACAAGGATCTCTCTACAGAGCAGTGTGTCATGCTCAAGGGTCCATGTCATTTTTGGCCTAATTAATAGAACATTGAAATAGGAAAAAACTCAATAAAGACACATATTTGACCCAAATCGAGAAAACTGTTATAGAAAACATTCAAAGCAATATACACTGAAATCTTAACAAGCAATCTGTACAATCATATTAGATAAATTTAAAAACTATAGCAGTGTTATAGAATTTTATCATAACAAATTAATTCTGCTTAAGCCAAAATACTTTTACAGTTCAATCTTATACCGAGTTTTACTTGTAATTCTCATAATGTATAGTCTCACTACAACAAAGATCTTGGGGTTGGCTAAAAGGGTAAGACAAAAAATCAATGCTGAAAACACGAGCCCTAACCTTCTGGATTCAGGTTTCTGGATCCTAACAGGTGGGGTGTTTTAATTCTTTGTAGCCATTTTTAATTTGGCATTGCACAAAAAGATAAGAAATTTTGAATATAAATTAACACCTTCTACCGTTAAAAATATGAAATAAGGCTAACAAAAATCAACACACGTTTCCAACAGCTTGTATTACACATAATATTCATTTGGTGCTGGCCTATTGACCTAGAAGTGAGTTTAACGTTCGCTTTAAAATATGGCACAAATTAATGGTGTTATACAGTTGGGACGATAAATATACTACAATGTTCACCAACTTTTGGTTCTTTGTCTCTTTGAGCCCCTGATCAGCCATTCTGCACTTCGTATATGAGCCTATAAAAGGTGGAAGATTGTTCAAAATCTGACAAAAATAGATCACTCAGATTGGAAAAAGAATGAAATCTTCAAATTTAACAAAATCGATGAGTCTTAATCATATACTTACGATGAAAATGTCCACGTTTTCCTCACAACGTAAAATTCCAAAATCTGAGTTGCGAAATTGGCCTCCACGCGCTGGATTCGAAAATCATGAGAAGACCGCGCTAGTTCCTAGACTCCTCCAGCTCGTCTGGACCTGTCGCGTCGTGTTTCGTAAACTCTCTATTATCGGAAATTACCACGCCGCAGAAAGATTGTAAAACGAAGCATAAACTTCAGCGCAAAGACTTTTTGATTGATTTCGAGCAAAACCTGTTACTCACAGAAAGGACAAAAACGATTCTATATTAAGCCCTGAGTCCTATCTTAACAGTCTTATGGGTCAACTTGCTTTAATACCTGAAATTCTCAATAACACTTCTAAAATATTTTCATGGAAACAGCCCGAATGCAAAAAGCGTCCCCAATTTTAGTTCTAAATTGTCATTTTTCCCTTGAAATTCAAAATCAAGGGCAAATCAAGCAAACGTCCAAAAACAGGTTAAAATTTTATGAGATTGTTACCCAAAAAAATTAGCTGAAATCCGGCATGTAGACCTCAGTGAAAAGAAATTTCTAAGAAATTCGTAGCGTAAGTTTCCGACAAATAAACTTGCACTGAGATTCAGGGTGCAAATTTCCGTAAGAGGAAATCTCTCTGAAATTTGTAGTGTAAATATCTGATTGGGAAACTTGTTATACACGTGGTAATTTCGGCAAGTGAAAACTAGATGAAACTGAGGCATTTCTTGTCGTGGCCTCGTTTGCCAACAAAATTAGTGAGACATCCTTTATATGGCGAAAAATTTGGAAATCCACCGAAATTTATAAATTTCATCAGTATTACCTATGTGTAATGTTTCTAGCCTGCGCCCAGACCACAAATGCTGACAAATTTATGGACTGCAATATTGATAAATATCCTGTCCAGGCAGAGGGCTGGGTCTAGTTTATGAAAATAATTGATGCAATGAAACCTTTGAAATCTTGCATGAAAATCCTCGAAGAAATATGCACTGAAACCAAACAGATAAAATGGTGCATGGTGAGTCTTGCAAGGTTTGAACCGTTTCAATTTACTATTGCATAGTCCATAAATGTGGCAGCATTTGTTGACGGGGGGACGGGCTTAATTTTAGGTTGGAAAAATATTCTTTTCATGTTACATTTCTGCCAATTACTCTTAATAGAGAATAAAACTAGGCAACTCCGAGATACATTCATGCATCGCAACGATTTCGGTGAATCGCCGCTACCCTTCCTTCTCACAAACAGTTTCTTTCTTGTTTTTTTTTGTAATTTCCGTAATCAAAGCCTGATTCAAAAATTGAACTGGGTGTTTATAAACATGCAAACCCTCCTGGGTGTCTCACCTGGCACATAGTTACCTTCCCTACCAGGGAAGGTCTCTTGGGTGTTTCACGTGATAGGGAGGGTCCCTTGGGTGTTTCACGTGAGAGGGAGGGTCCTTTGGGTGTTTCACGTGAGAGGGAGGGTCCCTTGGGTGTTTCACGTGAGAGGGAGGGTCCCTTGAGTGTTTTGCGTGAGAGGTAGGGTCCCTTGGGTGTTTCACGTGAGAGGGAGGGTCCTTTGGGTGTTTCACGTGCGAGGGAGGGTCCCTTGGGTGTTTCACGTGAGAGGGAGGGTCCCTTGGGTGTTTCACGTGAGAGGGAGGGTCCCTTGGGTGTTTCACGTGATAGGGAGGGTCCCTTGGGTGTTTCACGTGAGAGGGAGGGACCCTGGGTGTTTCACGTGAGAGGGAGGGTCCCTTGGGTGTTTCACGTGAGAGGGAGGGTCCCTTGGGTGTTTCGCGTGATAGGGAGGGTCCCTTGGGTGTTTCACGTGATAGGGAGGGTCCCTTGGGTGTTTCACATGAGAGGGAGGGTCCCTTGGGTGTTTCACGTGAGAGGGAGGGACCCTGGGTGTTTCGCCATGTATCATTTTTGGAATATACTTTGAAATAATTCTGAATGGCCACAGGCTTGTTATGAAGTTTCATGCCCCCTGTGGTATCGTTTTAGTACTATATTTGCAGTAGTGTTTTGTAAATTTTTATGAGCATAAAAAGCCTTTCATTTCACTAAAGCAGAAAGGAGAATTTTAGAGTTGGTTGTTAAGAATTTTCAGAAAACTAATAGGAAAAATAACTTCCTAGTGGTTCGAAATTTCGGATGAAAAGGAGCTGACAAAAAAATATTCTACACATGTTAATTAAATCAAACTTTAATTTTTTCACTCTTAAAATGTGCAAAATTCGAATACAATATCGACATTTACGAAAATATCGTTAGGAACAGCGTAAACAACAATAAAAGTACCTAAACAGGTTTTGATTGAAACTGCCGTTACGACAAAGTCGATACGCGGAGTTACGACGACATTATTGTTACACCGTAACAGTTTCGGCGTTGGGCACATTTTTGCGACATATTTTCGCGTGTTACATTCGCAACTCATCACTTTTCTGATAAAGCTATGCGGAATTACACTTTCACGCAAAATTAATGGAATAAGTCAAAAGTTGTGAAGCTGATTCGCAACTGCGACAGGGTCCTTCCCCAGTTAGTTGCTCATCGTTTGTATAGCCAGCAAAACCTTCCTTCGCAAGAAACTCCTTCAAAGTCTGAATAATTCTATGATATTTTATCACCCCGTCGGACTCAGTCTGCATTCGCCGCCGACAATGTCCAGGGGGTAGCTTGAAGTCTGTCCTAAGATACCCGCACAGCACCAACGCGAGTCTTTGTGCGGGAGAATATCTTTGACGTCAGTATATAAATGGTAAGAAGATTTCAATGTCTCGTACGTAAAAAAGGAGATACCAGCGTACGGCATAATTCCGAGAATGGTTGGGGTGATTCCCCGATAGAATGTGCGAAATCCCTCATCATGGTAGATGCGAATGAACGCGTTCCGTAAATTTGAGTATCTAGAAAGAAGGACACAAAAAATTACAAAAAACCATATGCACAGTGAACACTTTTTAATTGTATTTGGAAATACTTTCCTTGCCAAAATAATTGGAACACGACTTTATTTTAATTCAGAAGTTGAACCCTCAGGATTAGCGAACTCTCAAAATTATTAACGCTGTCGCTAGAGTTCTCCTCTCCAAAAAGTTTCCCTCCCCATTTTATATGTTTATTCGTCAAATATACATTTAGATTGTCACCGGAAATAACGCAAAATTGACATTAAAGGCTTGATCAATATTAGCCAATCAAATAACGTCGGGCTGGTATCAAGCTCACTGATTGGCCAATGTTGATTGTGTTGGGAAATCTAGAACAATTATAGTACTTACTTTGTATTCTAGAATATTCCATATAGTTCTGAACAATTCATACAATCGTTGCAATTCGCTTAGTTTATGTTTAATTTTAGTATCGTTAGCTAACCTACTGCATTGGACATTCGAGAACATTCTTGCTTAGGCCTATCAGCATGAAGTTGTTGTTACAACCTCGTTTTCGTTACAGTCTCATTGTTAGCCGGTTGCCCTGGAATTATCTGGAAATAAGTTCATTACGTAATCGTTGCTAATTTTATTTTCTAGTAATTATGATTCAGCATTCGAGAAATTTCTATCGTAAATGTATATATATACGCACAAAATAGTAGTTGGTGTAGATTAAGCTTGAATAGACTTGGAAATTTACATCAAAATTATGTGAGTTTTATTTAGTGTCACTGGGAGTTCTATTGGGCACAGGACTAAAGGATAGAATTGACAGATTGCGTGAGCCATTCTTGTATCTGTCGATTGCCATTAAAGGTCACGTGTCCAACTATGACAAGCAACTCTGCGTGGGTTTTCAGGAACATGTGATTTTTGATGTGATCACTTTTATAATTAACACGAGGCTCCTAGTACAATCTACAGTGCGAGGCTAGCTTTCATGTGAGCAGTTTTGCGTCGTAAGGAAACTGACCAATCGAAAGCCGTTCTTTCTAGGGGTGGCTTGACAAGTTGGGTATACGCAGCCTTACGTTGCGCTGATTGGATTCTTGAAATAGTCATCGAATAATTGTATATTTTTATCAAATGAGTCATCCTTTTAATTTTGTACATTTCCTATATCATTTTATCCATTCATTGTAATTAAATTAAAAAATTGTAAATGTAGTATAAATAGTAGGCTTTAATTAACTGTTATATTAGCTAAAAAATTTTGCTTCGCCTACTGTAAATAATTTTATAATAATTTTATAATAATAATAATAATAATAATAATAATAATAATAATAATCAAATAATCGGATAATCGAATATATAAACACTTATAGGACCCTCGACCAGATACAAAAAAGTACAACCATTGTTAGCTTAAAAACGATCAAAAAGCAAGGAAAAATAGTCCGTACGAAATTCCACTTCACCTGCGCAATAAATTTCTCAAATCTATATTTACCAGCGAGGATTCAAATATGCGCCAAGAATTTGCTACCTCTTCACCTCGGTCATCAAAACACCATCCAAATGTGCAAATAAAATTAACAAAGGAAATGTATGAAAAAGGTTTAGCAAATAACAAACTCACTTTTCTTTCCTGGAAACGGCTAGTCTCGCCCTAACCATATCCAGGGGGTATGTTATCGCCACTGCAGTGACACCTGCCGCTGAGCCGGCAAGAAATCTTCGAGCTGGGGGGAGCACCCTGGAAAAAATCGAAATCAACTTATGACTAAAAGACACGTTGATTTTATTGAAGGCAGGGAAAGTCCTAATATAATTGGATAGATAAGCGCGAGATATCTGCGGTTCTAACACGGGAAACCTGCAACGTTCCCGCCCTTTTTATTGATAATTCCGAAGCTTAGAACAGCAACCTTTAAGCAACAGCTTCCGACAATACCTGTAACGTAGGGATTTAGGGAACTGACAGTACGTATTTGGTGTCATCTTCGAAGGCACAACTGTAGAATCATGTGTTTTCTAATTGTATCATTAGGTTATGCTAATTAATGACGTATTTCTTGCAATCTTCATGTTATGAACAGGTCATGTTTATCAATAAATTGGAAAAGAGTGATTGCTCAGTGACACGCCTGTTTCTGTTGTTCGTATCTGCCTGGTCAAAACATACCTTGCCTGACAACTTTCTACAACAGCTTCCTGCAACTGTTTCCAGCAACACCTTCCGACAACAACCAGCAACCTTTGACAACTACCTACAACACCTCCCTGCAACTGTTTCCAGCAACACCTTCCGACAACACCCAGCAACCTTTGACAACTTTCTACAACACCTTCCTGCAACAGTTTCCAGCAACACCTTCTGACAATACCTTGCCCTGACAACTTTCTACAACAGCTTCATGCAACAGTTTCCAGCAACACCTTCCGACAACACCCAGCAACCTTTGACAACTACCTACAACAGCTTCCTGCAACTGTATCCAGCAACACCTTCTGACAATACCTTGCCCTGACAACTTTCTACAACAGCTTCCTGCAACTGTTTCCAGCAACACCTTCCGACAACAACCAGCAACCTTTGACAGCAACTACAACACCTTCCTGCAACTGTTTCCAGCAACACCTTCTGACAATACCTTGCCCTGACAACTTTCTACAACAGCTTCCTGCAACTGTATCCAGCAACACCTTCTGACAATACCTTGCCCTGACAACTTTCTACAACAGCTTCCTGCAACTGTTTCCAGCAACACCTTCCGACAACACCCAGCAACCTTTGACAACTACCTACAACACCTTCCTGCAACTTTTTCCAGCAACACCTTCCGATAACACCCAGCAACCTTTGACAACTCCCTACAACACCTCCCTGCAACTGTTTCCAGCAACACCTTCCGACAACACCCAGCAACTTTTGACAACTACCTACAACAGCTTCCTGCAACTGTATCCAGCAACACCTTCTGACAATACCTTGCCCTGACAACTTTCTACAACAGCTTCCTGCAACTGTTTCCAGCAACACCTTACGACAACACCCAGCAACCTTTGACAACTACCTACAACACCTTCCTGCAACTGTTTCCAGCAACACCTTCCGACAACACCCAGCAACCTTTGACAACTACCTACAACACCTTCATGCAACAGTTTCCAGCAACACCTTCTGACAACACCCAGCAACCTTTGACAACCACCTACAACACCTTCTAAAAACCATTTCCTTAAAATAAGAGCTTTTACTCATCTTTTTATAGCACAAACAAGGTATTTCTGTCTAAAAATTTATCTTGTGTGTGATTGAAAACATAAAAACAATGATTGAAAACATCATGTTTTTTTGCCTCTTCTCCTGAATAAGGTCCACATCAAACCTTCTTCCATCTAAGTTACTGTCAACAAACTTGTTATTCTCCTCCTTATTTGGACAATGAAATTTATATTCTCATGTCTGGATAGAATCTCATGCCATGAATTTCTCAAGAATAGACAAATTGGCTAGCTTTTCCAAGAGGCTGATATCTTAAATCAACTTCGAAAATAATTTTCATATTAAAATTTAAATGAGTTTTTGACATTGAAAGATGAGAAGAACAAGATTTTAGCCAATATAAAAAATTTTCTTTTAGGGTCATAACAAAGACATAACAAAGAAGGAACTTTTCTTTTCGACATCAATCATTTTGGATGTCACATCTTATGGCCGAGTAAAGGCACCTCTGTCTTTACTTTTCATTTGGGGACTCTTCAGATGTCCTTGTATTTTAGCCGGCCATGAATGATAAATTTAAATAGTATAACTTTTTATTTAGAATTATGAACAGTTTCTTGGGGGTAAAAAACTTGAACATGGCTTTGAAAAAAACAAACATTTTTTAACATATTGGCTAAAAGCTTTTTCGTCTGACATTCCTCAGAGCATAAAACGTCAGAATAAGGGTCCGGATGAAAATATACCCAGTTGGGTATATATATACCTAGATGAAAAATATATACCCAGTTGTGGGTCAAAATACGCCAATCAGAAAAACGTAAGCACAAGACCAGTAAAGTTGTCCAATCAGTGCTGCCAGCCTAAATAAAAAATTCCCAATATGTTATAAAAAACTTAGAACTAGGTTTATATCTTAGAATTAGGTGCTTGAAAAGGTACCTATGTACTTACTCCTCATGTGGTACTGTTCTTAATAAAAGCTTCATCTCCTCGTGTACTGTAAATTGCAAAGCAGCATATGGGACAATCCGAGCCATTGTCGCACTGTTACCTCGCCACCAACTTCTAATGCCATATTGATTATAATTTTTCTTTAAAAAATCAACTGCAGCCTAGAAAATATCAAAGTGAGATAAATGATGACAAGAATTTTAAAAAAATGGTTTAACATACGAAGCTGATTTTAAAAAGTAATTTTTTAGCACTTTTTAAAAAGTAATAAAAGATATTGCTTGCTACCTAGCTTCCAAAGGTAGTTTTCAGGACACTGAGAAGCTTAAGCTTTTCTCCCTAGCATCCGAAGGTAGTTTTAGGACATTGAGAAGCTTATGCTCATCAAGCAGTGTCCTGGTCCTTCCTCTCGATGTGACCACACCTCGTGATTCCTAGGCCTGGAATTACCGAGAGCTGGCGACTCTCCTCACTCTGGGTGAAAGTTTGGTCATGCCAGGGACTCGAACCGCGGACCCTTGGGTCTGTAGTCAACAACCTTAACCAATGAGCCATCCCAGCACCAGTGACAGTAGCAAAACAAATTAAGAGCAAAATAAATTCATTTTTAGTAAATGTTGCTGTTTAGTTGTATTTACTAATTCAAATGAATCTTAATAAGCTAAAACCTGATTTGTTTCTCTAAAATAAAGTGAAAAACCAGAAGAAAACTCTCCACTGTGTCTTTGTGAAACTTTATAACCAACTGACTTGAAAAAATGGCTTTTTACAAACTCAAAAATTGATAGTAGAGAGTTATTCAATTTAAAGGCAATCTGTCAAGACGTTGATTGATTAAAAGAACAAAGGGATTTTTATTGTTTCCAGTCCCCCTTTAATTTATCGCATTGTAAAAAATATGGCGGAGCACTGGAATTGTGTTTAGGCTATTGTTCCAGCTATTGTTCTTGTTAACCAATCCACAACGAGACAGATTGCCTTTAATACAAAAGGAAGAGAAAAGAGCTAGATGAAAACGATAGGGCTAAAGAATAACTGCATAAGTTTAAAACAAACGTGTTCTCTGCTATTGTTTTGTGTGTTTGTTTGTCCATAGTTCACTACACATTGATATGAAAAAAATCATAAAAAATCAAAGAAATTGTAGTTAAATTTTAGCAAATTTTGAAAAATAATAAATCAACCAAAGTTAAACAAACTATGAAAAATTTTCTGATAATAAATCCATAAAGGTAAATAGATTATTAAGCCATTTAAAAAATAATTAATCAATAACTATCAAACATATTTTGAACAAATTTGTGACATTATATTGAAAATTGAGTACTGGAACGTAATGAAAGACGTGAAGATACCCATTTCGTCCCTGACTTTAAAAGGGGCAAGAAAAGGGTAGTTTTTGCTTTAAGGGAATAGGAAACTTCCATTGCTATTCGTTTGCCACAAAATTTCCCTCTTCTCCCCTCCCCCTTGACGAAAACAGATTTGAAAAACAATTGGCATTTTAACAAATGAAGCGCCTGTTTGGATTCTGTAGCATCATAAAAACAATAACAGGCCTCTCAGTTTGAGGAGCATCATAACAGCTCTCAATCTATTCCTGTTACCAATTTATGTTGGGGTCAAAATAATAGAAGTTTCTTTTGTGGGTGTCTATAGAAGTAAATTGAAAGACAAATGTATTTGCAACATCAATAGTACTGATATTACTGCTTTTCAGTGCAATTTAAACTGGAAGTTATGAATTAAACGCTTCAATTAAAATTGTTGCTTTCGAGGCACGGGGTCAGCCACACACCTTCTAAAATCTTTACAGATAGGCCTTGTTAATAAATTTTGAAGAGGTTTTTTTGAAAATAATCTTGAATAATATAAGCAAGAAAATTAAGAGAAAATTGGAAAAAGGAAGAAGTCAAAAAGTTGTACAAAAAATGTAAAAACTGAAACACAGAAATGATTTCTTACCTTTACTGTGAAAGGTTGATGAGAAACTGAAAGTTAAAATATACAAACAATTAGAATTGCTTTCTCTCTTGATTTTCATTATTAGATGTTAAAGGTAATGTGTTCATATAAAAGGACTGCGTATACCCAACTTGTCAAGCCACCCATCAAAATAAAAGTTTGCCATTGGTAAGTATTCTTGCGATGCAAAACTGCTCACATGAAAAGCTACCTTCGCAGCAGGATAGATAAATAGAACAACCAAAATGGCTGGGACGATGACATGAAAAATTACATGTTTCTAAAAGCCCCCGCAGAGTCGCTTGCTTAAGCTGGAAACATTACCTTCAAACATTTAAGGCAGTGTAAAATAATACCATATCAACATATAGGCAGTCAACATCTTATAGCATATCAAGAAACAGGCCAAACAAAGAAGGGGAATGAGTATGGAGTTTAGAAAGAAAAATTAAAAAACCTTTGACACCTGGAATGATATTGAAGAGAGTCCATAGGCTACACAAATTTGAAACATATATAAATAACTTAGCTGAGCACATAGTGATTATGCAATTAGAAGTGTGATATCAGACTTGAAATTGCTTCAAAGACATTGTGCTACTGTCCCTGTTGCTCAAAATTGATTTGTCTGTATCTAGTAAAGGTAAAACTTCGCAAAATGCACCTATTAGATCAGGTGCATGAAATGCCTGAGAATGCTGTTCACAGTGGTGGCCTAAGCCCTTGCCATACTTTTAATCTGGACAATAATTTCTGTACATCATTTGATTATTTTGCAAAGTTTATAAACTCTGAGGATTGTTGGAGAAAAGGTACTTGAGTGCAATACCGTAAATCCTCGAATTAGCCCCCTGGAGGTATATTTATTTTTGATATTTTTGGATAGGGGCTTATTCAAGGGGGGGCCTATACAAGGGGGGGGGGCTTATAAAATTAATGTTGACAATAAGATGACATTATTAAAAGACCTTGTTTATTTTAGTAGAAATTTCTTTATGAGAATTTAATTGATTACTACCAAAAGTATGAATTCGTCTTGGTAATTCAATAAAATGCCATAGGCAACATCAGATGGCAAAAAATCATCAAATTGAGGGGTCCAATTCGAGAATTTATGGTAGCAGTGGGGGCTTATTCGAGGGGGTTTATGAACGATTTGTGAATCTAGCCGTGGGCTTATACTTGAGGGGGGCAGCTTTTCAAGGGGGGGGGGCAATTCGAGGATTTACAGTACTTAAGTTTCTGTGTTTCCATGCAGTTGTAAAATCCTTGCCTAACTACTCAAAAAGTTCTATTTCCCCCTATTTCACAAGCATTGGATCCCATTTGCACATGACACCTCAAAACTTTTGTCTGCCAGCACTTTTGCAAGACAAAAACCAATATCAATGCTTTTCTTATGCATGCTATCGCCTGAGAATCTTTAAGAAAACAGGTGCATTTCCTATTCAGAATATATCACTGCTTTTTAACAGGTTGTTGCATAAATTTTGATTTTGTAAAATGAAAAACTATTTTCATTAATATTCTTTTCTGGGCCTGTCAACAGCCTCAAGAGATTAATATTTCATTGCCTCGAACCCCCTACTAAGCGCTTGGCATCAACTGACAAATTATGGTCATGCATAATTTGAAGAGGGCTTTCAAAGTTTTAACATTTATTCAGCAAATTTTGCAAAAACAACTTCACCTTTGCGATAATCGAGAACATGCGTTTGGCTTTAAAAATGACATGTCCATCGATCTACATTTTTGATTTGTTTAAATTCCAGGTTTTTTCGACATTGTTATTATGTAAGAAAGCCACAGTCAAACAAAATGGCGTATACCTGTATGGAAAGCAGATTATTCCCGCAGAAATATCGGGTGTTCAAGGAGGGTTTTACCGTTCTTTTGATTTTGTGGTTTTTTGCCTTTATAAAAACCTCAGTTATGCAAGCACCATACCATACAGACAAACTAATAATAATTGTAGTTCACTGCGTCACAAACCTTGGAAAGAAATCTTCGTTCTGTCCAATGGTGCAATCGATGTCTTTGCTACAGCACCAGCAACAGCTCCAGAGAGTAAGGAACAAATAGTATGGACTATGTTTCTCTTTCCTGTCAACCCCTCGTGAAGGTTCTCGATTTCTTTTGGTGTTAGGCCAGATCGATTTAGGCCGATTACTTGCTTCGTGCTCGCATGTGCAACCATCTCCTGGCCTAGGTCTGTGTTTTTCGAAGCCATCTATATTTCAAAACACATTTCAAGCAACATGCAGGGTCATCTATCATTTTCTTCAACCCTTTGTAAAAATTAGCAACAATCAAATGATTCCAGATGAAAATATTGCGCAAACATCAAGCAGCAATATTACCGTTGCAGTGTTACCTACTTACAAGTGTTCCTTCGCAGTTCCAGGGTACAAAATTCACGCTAGGGGGAGGGGCAAACTCAAGGGTCACATGTTAATTTTTAGAGTTCACCTAAAAATTGATTTGTGAAGTAATGACAGCCACTGACACCTCAAACCAGAGGTGGCGCCAGAAATCTTCCGACATAGGGGCTGGAGCTTCCGACAGGGGGGCTAAAATGACTAAAACAAGCAGTTTTCGTACGTTATTTTGTCAAATTCGCTCCGACAATAACCTAAAATTTCCTCCGATGGGGGGGCTAGATGCTTCCGACGGAGGGGCTGTAGCCCCCCTAGCCCTCCCCTGGCGCCACCACTACCTCAAACGGTCGGCTGTAGACCGGTTTCGCCCCATATCAGGGCTCATCAGTACAGCTAGACTGAATGAGGACCTAAAGCCGTCCTAGGGCCAGCAGATAGGCTGTCAGGCCAAAACCTCAGCACTGCTTTGCGGTGCGGTTCTTGGTATTGATTCCAGTTCATTTTCACTAAAATTATAAGTTTGTAATAGTGCTACATAGTTTGGATTTCGTTTGGTTTGCAACTTGTAACCTTTGTTATTTAACACCTTTTGCACATTCGATTGTTTATAATCCCTTCTGTTATCTAATTGCACCTTTAGATCCATTAATTATTTCATTTGGGATTTTTGTATCTATATTCAGTTTATCAAATTAATCTTGGGAGCAGTATCTTTTGTAATCATTATTATTTTGTAAATACCTAGCTATGTAGTATTTCAATTAGTTCTTGTTTAGGTTATATTTTGAGAGTGAAATTTTATTACAAATCACGGTTTCCAGTTAGAATTTTTATATCAAGAGAGTACCTCCTATTTCTAAGATGGTTTTGAATGTAATCTATGTTGTGTGCATGGAGAGTTGGCCATTTGTTTTTGCTCTCATTTGAGAGTTGAGTGTTGTGTCAGGTCGCAGGGTTATTGTTCTGTGTTTTTACTTGTTGTCTTTGTCAAAATTGTTTAGTATTTGCTAGGCCAGGCGCTCCTAAGGGATTTTGATTTGATTTGATTTTGATGTAATTCAAATTCTACCACATTTCGAAAAATACTAGTTAGTTATATAAATTATAAAAAAACAACTAAAGAACGCAACAACAACAATGGCCTTATTTAAAAAACAAATTGAAGCAGAATTCTTAAGGAGGAGCCTTCAAAGTAGGTTAACTAACGAGATGAAGGCCCCCCTTTGTTTCAGCGATCTATATGTTCATCTATAAAAGTGTCTCGTTGAAGTAAATTAAACCACTTTACGGATAACAAGAAATTTTGCAAAGCTCACTGACATTCAAATAGTTTCTAGAAGACTTTCTTCAGTTCACTTGCTACGCGATTTCGAAATTTTTTATAAAGTTTTGCATTGTTCTCTGAACTATGTTTTTTTAACTTCCTTAGAAGTCGATCGCGAATTTTCATCATTTTTTGCAATCTCTTGTTGATCCAAGGTTTTCCATAAGTTTTGATTCCTTCTAGTGCATTGATTCTATATGAGTGAAAGAACGATACAGTTTTTATGCAAGTCATCTTATCAAGTTTGATAGTTTTCAATAAATAAAAAGTTTTGAGCTTTTGACAAAAACTTACAACAGACAATGATCTCCATATATCTAATGGTGAGAGTTTGGTTGTGTCAAGGACTCGAACCCTCAACCCTGGATACCAATGCTCTAGAAATAGGCACCGCGGAGAAGGGGGCTGGGGGTCTATTGGCCCCCCCCCACTTCTTGCCAAAAATCCAAAAAAAAATTACCAATGAATCACCACTCAAACCATTTTTTATTCAGTTTTAGCCCCCCCCCCCCCCTCAAACTCTTTAGACCCTCCCCACTTTTCTCAACGCTCTACGGTGCCTGAGAAGTTGGGAGGATTCCTTCCCAGTTTCTTAGGGTCTGGTACCCCGGAGTAACCCAGCCCCCAGGATTGGCCATCGCTCCTCTTCTAACCTCCGAGCAATATCATTGCCTTCGAGAGGCTGATATGAGACCGAGGTTGAAAATTCTTCGAATTGGCAAGATGGCTGCCATATCCGAAAAGAAATATCACAAGTTCACTGAAAGATAACGCAATTACAAAGAGTTTTCCATCCTCAAGATATAAAGTGACCTTATGACAGTGTGAGTTAAATTTTATCGAGTCTAAAAAACAGTGAAAGGTTGATAAATAGACATATCTGCAGTTTGTTTATGGAAGTCTTTTAGGCAGACAGGAGGAAGACCAGAGGCAGAGGGAAGGCCTACTGAAATTTATCAATGAATGTTTTTACAGCACCACAGTGATCTATGGCACCCAATTACATTAAACTACAATAGCTGGGTTCCAGGATTTGAGCACATTGGCTGTTATGTTCTTAATATCTTTGTATGAGCTTTAATTTGATACATTCTGATATTTCTTTGGTTAATCTTACACAAAATTTATCATTTTATAAAAAGTTGGTGTCTTGAATACGATGTTTTAGAGTTGCAACTCTAAAGTGTTCATAATGAGATGATGTATACTCAGTATTATTCAGGGCCGTCAAGAGATAACTCAGGCCCAGGGTAGGGGTGTACCGGATCAGGATTTTCAGAATCCGGCCGGAACCGGATTTACCGGATTTCTTCGTGGAATATCCGGCCGGATTTTACCGGATAATCTGGCAATTTATGGATTTTTCAGTAATAAAAAGTTTTGAGCCACTTTGTGAAAAAATGTATCGCGAGAAGATCAAAGAGACCCATTCGAGTTGCCAGATTGAATTTACAAACGAAGGCTAGACTGGTGAGCAATTTTAGCCAAAATGCTCATAAAAAGACCAAATAAAAAACTTTCTCAAGAATCCATCGAGCAGGCACTGGTTATATTTCTACGCTTGTGCCTGTTAGATAATTTCTTAACTTAGATAAGAATCTTACTTTTTCCAAAACCCTTTGCTAATATCAAGATAATATTTAGGTTAGGTGATAAAATATGAAATTTGGTTAACACTTTCTAGTTAACTATTAATTATTCCATGAATTTAGTAATTACTCATTAGTTTTAGACGTTCTGCTGAAAAGGCCAACAAGGTCAAATTTAAGTAGTAAGCAAAAAACAATTTTTCCAGACAATCTAAATCTAAAAACCAAAAATGAAAAATTTGGCCTAAAAAGCCAATCTGGCAACCCTGGACCAAATTTGTGAATGATATCATCCAGTCTTCCTGTTTCGTGATGACGAGCACTTTCATTTCAAATTTGTTTTCAAAGTGCTTGTTTTATTGTTGATCTTGTTAAGTTCTGGAAAATCCGGCAACTCGCCGGATTTCGGAAACAAATCCGGCCGGAACCGGATTTTCAAAAAATCAGCGATCCGGCGCCGGATTATCCGGCCTACCGGATATCCGGTACATCCCTAGCCCAGGGGTGAATCACAAAGCTCGACCCCTTAAGAAAGGGTCATATGGCCACGCCCTTCCGTCTCCAGGAGAACTAGGGCAATGCCCTTTTAGTTGCAATTGTTGAAAAAGAGTTTTAAGGATTTTTATAAAAATGTGAAAAAACTTTTACATGCATCAAAGCCATGTTTTCTCTGTGATAAACTTACAGGTGCTGATTCCATATAAACAGATGAAATAGTAGCTTTTTTGCATTATAAATATATCTTATTACTTCAACACGGGCCCCATCGGAGCATGGGCCCCATCGGAGCATGGGCCCCATCGGACCATGGGCCCCATCGGAGCAAGGGCCCCATTGGAGCACGGTCCTCAGACCTTTTACCCCTCCTAACCTTCCCTCTCAACGCCTTTAGTATTATTGGAACTGTCTTAATATATTGGTGTCATATTTCTCTAGATGATCTGTTCCTGATCATGGTTGACAAGAACATGCTAAAGATGTTTCTACAATATGGTTTTTTTGCTGGCTTGTGTCTAGGATGTGATGCAGCTGTCTCTCTTGCCAAGTCTATGAAAATAGAGCCACTTAGTCACAGAAATATCATTTTGGCACTTCTTGACAACTGTTCTCATGGTATCATAGCACTCTTTGCATGGCTTCTGATGACAGATTTTGAGAATTCAAAAAGAAACATTCTTCTTGCATTTTTGTGTGCTATCTGTGCATGTTTTGTGGACATAGACCATTTTATATCAGCAGGATCTTGGAAACTAAAGGTAATTTTTGTTTGAATACCATGAGCAACAAAAATTAATCTTAAAGCCTCCCCCCCCCCAACAAATAGTTGTATTTTGGTTTGTGGCTCTGATTTTGAAGTACATTTGGTAACTGCTTTTCTATAAATTGCTAGGGCTTTTCAGTGAAACCAACACATTTCTCTAAGGAACTTCTGAACAAGCCCTTTTGCTCAGCTATTTTGCTCAATTTCCTGAACACCCCAGCAGTGTGAGCCAATCTGCTTGGGAATAGGGGGATGAACAAATCATTATTTGCTTACACATATGAAAATTTGCAGGAGAAGCACCCCTACTCGTCAAAATTTTTGATGGGTATCATTTATCTAAGGGTGGTAGATTACCAGATTTTTTAACCTTAGGGTGTGTCAAACCCCTAACACACACCCACTGCTGTAATTATGGCCTTGGTCCTGATGCAAGACTTTTTATCAAATGTTTTTACGTTATGGCTTATGCTGATGTCATATCTCTCAGAATGATCTGCAGCTAATTTCATTTCAATTGAATATCCAGGCCCACGCTACGAATTTCAAGGTGAAGAGGCCAAGTTCTATAAGTCGGAACTGAATTTAGTGCTTCAAAACAGGGCCTCTTTGAGAAAATATTATTGTTTACCAAGAAAGTGGGGGGCCCCTCTAGCCCCTCCAGACCCTCAAGCCCCTCTAGACCCTCCAACCCCTCCAGACCCTTCAGCCCCTCCAACCCCTCCAGCCCCTTCAGACCCCCCAGTCCCTTAAGACCCTCAAGCCCCTCCAGACCCTTCAGCCCCTCCAGACCCTCTAGCCCCTCCAGACCCTTAAGCCCCTTCAGCCCCTCCAGACCCTCTAGCCCCTCCAGACCCTTCAGCCCCTCCAGACCCTTCAGCCCCTCCAGACCCTACAACCCCTCCAGACCCTACAACCCCTCCAGACCCTTCAGCCCCTACAGCCCCTCCCAAAACCTACAGCCCCTTCCAGACCCTTCAGCCCCTCCAGACCCTCTAGCCCCTCCAGACACTCCAGCCCCTCCAGACCCTCCAGCCCCTCCAGCCCCTCCCCCGTCGGCGTGGGTCCTGAGTATCTTTGCATTATGATTAATATCAATGTCATTTTTCTTAGGATGCTCTGAAGCTACATTCAAGACCACCCTTTCACTGTACAACAATTCTTCTGCCACATGTTCTCCTTATGATTGCTGGTTCTATATTCAAGAGCCCGTTTTCGCAGCAGCAATTTTTAGTAGACTGGGTACTAGTGACGTTTGTTGCTGTTATTACGCATCATTTGAGAGATGCAAACAGACGGGGGCTTTGGTTTTGCCCATTCGGAAGCACAAGGCCTTTGTCAATGCCAGTTTATTTGCTAAGTATAATAACTGTACCATTTGTGATTGGCAGACTGCGACAGCATGTGTGTCATACAGTTGACAGGACTGATGAAACCCTCGTATAATGTCAACGTAGGACACTATAATAGTGATGTAGAGTTAATTTACAAAACTGTCCTATTGATGTAGAACCAAGCTGTCCTACAAGTGTTAGCTATTGGCTATTTCATAGAAACGCTATTCGGGGTTATTAGGGGGAGGGGTTCTTTTCTAAGAATTTTTAATGCAGGGGTATTAAGTTAGAATTCAATAATACGTCTTGTCGATTAAATTGTTGAAATTGAGTAGGGGGCAAGAGACTTATTTTTGGGCATTAGGTTTTTATCTTAGAGGCTGTTTACCCGGATTTTGTGGCAAATCAGGCCAGAGGTGGCGCCAGAAATCTTCCGACAGAGGGGCTGGAGCTTCCGACAGAGGGGCTGGAGCTTCCGACAGGGGGGGCTAAAATGACTTAAACAAGCAGTTTTCGTACGTTATTTTGACAAATTTGCTCCGACAATAATCTAAAATTTCCTCCGATGGGGGGCTAGATGCTTCCAACGGAGGGGCTGTAGCCCCCCCTAGCCCTCCCCTGGCGCCACCACCACCGTCAGGCAAATCTGGCAAACATAACCAGAGGGTAGGCCAGTGCCCCCACCCTACCCCCATCCTGCCCCCACCCTGCCCCCTCCCTTGGCGAGTCTTGCTACTGCTGCTGGTTTATATAACTCCCTAGTTTTTTTATAAGACTAGATTTTTTGCTCTGGGAGCCTACATACATTATTAACTTGTTACAAAACGAGGCAAACATGAAAGCGATATAGACCAAAGTTGTTAGGGAGAAACTCGTGTTCACAGCTGGTAGAAAAGAGGAGATAAACATAGCATAAGATAAACATACACTGGTAGTTTTTGTCGCTTTACAGTCATATCGTGAATTATCTTTCCGCTAACATACTGGCAGGGAAACCACTGCCCTTTTCTTTCACGGGTACGCCCCCCCCCCAACAATCCTATTTCGTTACCCCGTAAAAGCAGTTTCTTTCTCATTTCTTGCTATACGATGATGCGTAAAGGACCTTGCCTCGATCAGCCACTGGAGAAAATTCCGGAATCGGTCGATCGAGGTATCTTGTCTCTAGAGAGTTTTTTTTAGGAATGTTAATTTCGAAATGTTATATCCACGGTTTAAGAAATGAAATAGTAGATATTTATTGTCGATTTGTACATATTAATAGAAATTTATGGATTTATTGAAAATGGCTTTGAAAAAACAAACATTTTACAATACACTAAAAGCTTTTTCGTCTGACACTGCTCAGAGCATAAAACGTCAGAATAAGGTTCCGAAAGAACACGGTGAAAAATATATACCCAGTTCTGATTGGCCTATTTCGATCCACAACTGGGTATATATTTTTCATCGTGTTCTTTCGTAACCTTATTCTGACGTTTTATGCTCTGCGAAGTGTCAGACGAAAAAGCTTTTAGTATGTTGTAAAATATTTGCTTTTTTCAAAGCCATTTTCAAATTCTGTACCGCAAAAAAATTGTTCAGATTTATTGAAATAAATAGACTGTATTACGTAGTGATGCAGATGATGCAGATGATAGTAGATGATGCAAAACGTATAGAGGGGTTAATTACCACGGATATTGCCAGATATGAGAACCATAATCAGTGGCAGAGCCACGGGGGGCAATGGGGGGGACTAGTTCCCCCCACTTTTTCAGAAAGTCGCTCCTTTAGATCCTTGCAAACCTGTTGAGAAAACTTCAGGGGGGGGGATATATACTTTATCTAGATCGTCACATTTAAATGACATTTCTTGGGAGATAAGAGTTGTATCCTCCGGAAAAAATATGTGTCAATCACGGGTAAAGGGCGAGGTCTAAAAGGGCGTGGACACACTATTTGTCCCCCCCCCCCCATTTATCCCAGGCTGGAGCTGCCACTGACCCCTATGCTCTATATATTGCCGAAAATCAATGCGACCCCCTCCCTACATTTCAGTAGCTGCAGTCCTAGATCTATGTACGTAATGTTAGAAATTTGTTTAACCAATTTACTCTCCCCACATCATAATTGTTGTTGATTTGTACAAATTTGTAGTAATTTATAAGTTTATTGCAGAAAAGCAACTTTTATTTTTGTTCTTATTAAATTGTTTTATTATTTGAATTTTCTAAATTATCGTTGTACTTTATGCAAGGGCTGAATTAACGGTGGAAGCTAAGGACACTGATCCCCCTTCCACACAATTTTCAAAAGGTAAATATAAGAATCTATATGTTCTATATAATGGTGAAAATCAACCTTCCCCCCCCCCCTTCCCCCTACATCTCGAAATCTACCTCGGCCCTTGACTGTATGTAATTAAATGGTTGACATTAATTGGCCTTCTCGCTATATTGAAAAATTATTAAAGAAGTATTATTATTTAAGTATTCTAGAATATTGTAGTCCTTTATGCAAGGGTCGAGATAGCGGGGGGAGCTAAAGAGCTTGAACCCCCCAAATTTTCAAAGGATTAATATGAGAGCCTTTATGCTCTATATATTGCAAGAAATCAACGCCCCCCCCCC